ACGACCCCCCTCCCCCAAGGTGGATTTGGTACGACCCCCTTCTCGACCCTCGACCACCATATTCCTCGCTATAGTATTTAATTCTGGTACCACTCAACCCACCAAACTCCGCCCACTTTTTCCTCCAAAAATGCCGTCGAGCGGGGGGGGAGGGGGGTATATACGCGCGCTGAAACGGCAAATTTTCTCCCGCGCCACTCCTCACTCATCTCATGCAACTTCTTACAATCGAAGCAAGTACGACCCCCCCCCTCTACAAACTCATCAAAATATACGACCCCCCTCTACAAACTCATCAAAATACGACCCCCCGTTGCTACTTGTAGCAACATAGGGTTGACCCTGCTTGGAAGGCACGTCGTACTGAACATGATCTTCAGACCTTTCGTGTGGTAAGCATCGCCATTTCACAGTGGACCACTTCCGCCTCAGCTCACATAAAGGACACATAATGCAGATAGTAAACAAGTAAACATTCAAGCCTGCTTCAATCTCAGTTCTCATCTGATCTGTGTACCCGTCCAAATTTTGCGGTACCCATCGTCGTGTATATCCCCATACATGTCGTGTGTACCAATATAATATGTGTTTTTTACGACCATCACCACTCCCTCCATTGTGTTTCCATCGATGTGCGTCCTGCTCGGTTCATGAGAGGACGGAATGTCGTGCTCGAATTTTATAAATAATAAAAAATAAATAATAGTGAAGCTAGTTATTTTTTGGCGGAACCCACATTTGATGTGATCGAAGTACGGCAATGTATTCAGGCTAACGATAAGAATACGAGAAGATGAAGGCTCATGCGCTTGACTTATGGTTAGGGCAATCTCGTTCTGGGATGCGCCACGCATTCCACTGCAACTCTGAGTCGTATTAATACTATTTGAATTATGCAATTCACTGTAAAAGTGTTCGTTTGTGAGTCAGGGTTGTTACCCTACCAGATTTTACCAGAGAAATCTGGTACCAGTTACTCGAACCCGACCAGAAGAACGTTTGTGAGTCAGGATTGTTACCCTAACAGATTTTACCAGAGAAATCTGTACCAGTTACTCGAACCCGACCAGAAGACGTTTGTGAGTCCAGGATTGTACCCACTAAACCAGATTTTAACCGAGAGAAATCTGGTAATAACAGCGTTACTTCGCACCGACCAAAAGAATTCGGCATCAATTAGCAGATGACGTTAAATAATTTGAGGTGGTCAAAAGAGCTTAAGTGAGCTGCAGCTGAACGGTTTGCCGATTTCACCAAGTGATCCCACCCAACTAGACGAGGAACAGCGATAACGATCCGGTAGTCTTCCCTGCTTGTATCGACCTCGAGTCCAAGAAAAAAAAACGAACTAATGGATTAACTTTTTTTGAAGGAGGGGAACACGGACCTAGTTTTTTTTTCGACCGAGTGTAAGAACATTTTTAGTACAACCCTAGAGTCCCAGCCTCGAAGACTCGGAGAAGATGAGAAAATATCACGTCCGTGGTTTTTATAGGCAACGTGTGAATTCTACATAGCCGCCTGTATGCGAAAACGATAACAGGGTCTCCGCTTACATAGTAGTTCCTAAAAGGCGCCAATGACTTGCTAATAAGAATAGAAGCGGAGAGTAAGTGTAACTGTGCTGTACTGGTCAGCACTATAACAAACGGCATAGATGCCACTACGGGATTCTGCATTTATGAACAGCTCCGCTGCAGAGAGG